TTTTTTTTTTTTTTTTTTTTTTTTTTTTTTTTTTTTGTTCATACGTTTCTGCAAATTTGTACACACACGTGGCTGCGCATGAACGTAACAATTTGCAGGCACATGGGCAGACGTGCCTACCGACTAAGGCGAAAGTGCTAACATATAAGAGAACGAACAAATGAACAAATATGCTCACTACATCCTCGTGTTTGTAATGTTCATACAACGGTTGAGGCTGCCCAAAACTGCTCCCCCCCGGCGCGCATAAAGAGGGAGCGCAACGTACTTATACATACATACACACACACACAAAGTTCTGAGGAACGTATAAAAAGTCTGTTGCAAACCATGTCAAGTTAAAAAAGGAAAAATGTAGTGAAGAGGAGGAAGCTATACCACGAAATATCACTTAAGTGCCACAACATTAACCAGTTGTATGCAAATATGTTCGTCTGTCAATTCTTGATGCAACACTTCGTCAACAGCGCGCCATGAACAACACACACTTTTTCCTTATATACATACGAACAGCACTGAACGATGCGCTTCCTGCGATGTGTAGGACGTGGTACTTTCGCTATTTGCCAAAATTTTAACCTGGTGAATTCCATAACTTGCTCATTTGGCGCTTTGAATGTTGCAATTAATTGTTGGCGCGGGATGAAGTGAAAAGACGTGCAAATGCACGAACGGTTTGGAAAAAATGCTGAGCATAACCAAAGCATAAAATAAAAGCTAAAAAGAGAATCCAAATTGACAAGGGCAAAAATGCTTACATCATTTTTCATACCTTTCTAAATTCCATTTTGTGCCAGTTTCTCAATTTGTAAGACAAAAAATGTGGTACATCATCGAGGGGTGGAAAAAAAAAAAAACTTGTTGAGTACATCCTTTTTTTGTTTTTTTTTTTTTTGGCCTGAATGGATTACGGATGTACCATTTCCCTTGACAAATATTTACATAAACAAGGAGAATCAACAATAAGGGGGAAAAATAAAAATGGAAATGAAACACCAACTTAAAATTTCACCGTTACACCCAACACAGGTGCAACGGTTTGCTCATACGCTCGAAGGGCCTTCGCATAAACGCGGCGCCAAACCGTGAGCCAATGTGCATGCATAAGATATATATGCATGACGCCATTCTTAACTATTGACAGTTCATCGATGTTCTAATTATAACGGATGATAAAAAAAAAAAAAAAAAGGCATCAACTTTTTAAACGCATTTCGAGCATGTGTATGTTGGAAGAATCAAAAAGGGCATTTCTTCCTTTTTTTGACTTTTACTTTTGTAAGTCCCCTGCACGGGATACTACATCCTGGCCGTAGCGTGTGTTAAGAGGTGAGAAGCAAAGGAAAGCGATGAGAAAGCCGAAGGGCACAACGAATTTGTGAGCAAATGGGTTGACCAACGGGCTATGCAGCGAAGGGTGCGGTGATGGGAGTGACGTACGAAGCTTCTAACGAAGCAACGAACGGGCCAAGAGAGGAGATAAGAAACGATGCCGTTTCGAAACTGCCGTATGCCCGTCGCGCGAATCTTACGTCTCCCGTTTTCATCGCATAAAAGCAGCCAAGCAACGCAGTTTCTGTTTCCCCCAATTGTTGTACGTTCGTAAGGAGACTCGACAAGGTGCGACCAAAAGGCAACCGAAGTGAGCCACCCAAGTTAAATGCAACGCGGCTTGAATGTATATAAATTCGTTTATGGTTGCATGTGTATGTTGGAAGAATCAAAAAGGGCATTTCTTCCTTTTTTTGACTTTTACTTTTGTAAGTCCCCTGCACGGGATACTACATCCTGGCCGTAGCGTGTGTTAAGAGGTGAGAAGCAAAGGAAAGCGATGAGAAAGCCGAAGGGCACAACGAATTTGTGAGCAAATGGGTTGACCAACGGGCTATGCAGCGAAGGGTGCGGTGATGGGAGTGACGTACGAAGCTTCTAACGAAGCAACGAACGGGCCAAGAGAGGAGATAAGAAACGATGCCGTTTCGAAACTGCCGTATGCCCGTCGCGCGAATCTTACGTCTCCCGTTTTCATCGCATAAAAGCAGCCAAGCAACGCAGTTTCTGTTTCCCCCAATTGTTGTACGTTCGTAAGGAGACTCGACAAGGTGCGACCAAAAGGCAACCGAAGTGAGCCACCCAAGTTAAATGCAACGCGGCTTGAATGTATATAAATTCGTTTATGGTTTCTTTGCCTACCTGCTTATTTTTGCTTCCATGGTGAGGAATGGACAAATGTGCGCTAAGAAGCTTGCCTACGGCCATGCGAACAGCTGCGCGTGACGGACGGGCCTTTACTCATATTCCTCAAGAGGGAGAGGTGTGCTCAGGAAAGCCCCATCGGAGCTGCGGCTGCAAATTTTCTCAGACACACGCGTCTTCGTAAATGTGCTTACATATGTACCACACCACCTTTGCGCGCTTCGCAAGGAGTACGTTGGTACATGCTCCCGTAATCACACTCAATTAGGCGTACGACTGAAGAGCCACCTCCACCGCCCACACACCGCACACGCATGCAAACATGTTAAGGCAAGTGCAATTGCTCATCCTGTTGATCGTTGCCTCGAAGAAGGCCACCGTACTAGTGAACTCAAGGAGGATAAGTCACCTGCATTCCAAACTGAACGAAAGTATTCACCACTTCAACAAATGTCATTCGCCCAATGTATGGCACCACAGAAGAAACAAACCACATCATGCGTACATAAAGCCACCCCTCTTTCACATACATCAGAGAAAAATAAATTACCTTAAAAATGGCAATAGCATATATTCCAAATACTACAATAACGAGCCTGTTTATAACACATACAATCCAATTTTAAATTATGAAATACTCGATTTGGTGAAGGTGTTTGGGAGGTTAGCTGAGCATGGAAAGTATGAGTCGCTCAACATTGCCGTTGACGTAGACATAAACGAGCAGGAAACACTGAATGACCCAGATGGGAAAAATGGTCAGGCAAAAAGGAATAACTCGTGGACACATAAATTTGTATCCATTTTTAAATTTAAAAATTTTTATGAACATGACAAAAGAGCATACTGGTATAGACATTTCGCACAGAAGGGGAAAATGAATTTCGAAGATTTTAAAAAATACTTATTACTACTAAAATTTAAATGGCCAAAAGATTCCCTCTTCCCAACATATAATATGTTCCTCTTCGAAAAAGGGTTAAGTAAAAATGTGGACTCCCCACTGATACGAAGCAAAGTGGAAAATTACATACAGCGGCAAGAAATTAACGAAAATTTACTGAAGTCTTGTTTTTTCTGCTTTTCGGAAGGAAAGGAATATATCACTGCTCAGGATATTTTAAATACCTTTGTTGGGTGGAAAAGGAAAGGGGATAAAAATGACAGGAAAGATAGGCATACCAATTTCTTTTCCTTTTTTAAGAAAGCCAAACCAGAGGAGGACTCCATTGACTGGTACACCTTCAAAAATAAAATCGACGCATGCACAATTAGGATGCACGAGGCGAAGACGTAAACTTACCCCCTCGTGTCCCCAAAGGGAGTGACAAACCTGGGTGATGAACTACATTTTTTTTTTATGGCGGAAGGGTGCGAAGTGCACACCTGTGCTATAAACGAGGCATGGTCTATCTGTTCCATGTTATGTTGCTTCCCTTATTGGTGGAGATTACTTCGAACTGGGGGAAGAAAAGCAAATTTCACGGCGAAGTAGCCCTTCCCCTGTTTGTATAAAAACATGCATTGTACATATTGATCAAATTTCTTCACCAAAGGGGGTAATGTTGCCCGTCTTACGCTACTCGTCTGCTCACCTTTTTTTTTTTTTGCATCCCATTTAATGCCCCACACCCAGATGTGTCAATTTTTTCGTAATTTTTTTTGTACACCCCCGTTGTGGAACCTTGGCGCAATTTGACCTGCACTTGATCATCAAGCCGTTGCCACGTAAATGGACAATTAAAATAAAAAATGTCATCCTAGCGAAGGTGTCGTGGCGGCCCCAACGTGGTATCCCCTCACATCGCCATAAGAAAGGCTTAAAATGGAGGGGGAATTGGGAAGAACAAAACGTTAATCTGTCTAATGGCGAATGCGTACGGGGGGATTGATTCTTCCTGACCAAATTAACATTTTAAAAAAAAAAATTAACATCATTTTTAATGCTACATTGGCATGCTCTACGCACTACGGAGAGTGGCTGTTAAGAACAGCAGAACTGCAGAGTTATAAGAGGATGTGCATTCAAAAAAAAAGGGAAAAACAAGGGGGGGAAACGCGGCTACGTGTGTAATTGTGGCGAGGGGAAACGCATATAATGTTTTAAAAACAAGAAACGCCACATTTACAACGCACGGGAAATGAAACAATGGACATGGTTGACGCGCGTGGATAAAAATGGGATAAAAAAAAAAAAAAAAAAGAAAAAGAAAATGAGAAGATGGAGAAGGACGCAGAGCACGAAGACAAAGACGCCATTAAAACGGTGCACAGGGCAGAATTACGAAACAGAGGGTAGCACGGAACGTGCATGTATACGAATGTGTACACATGTGCACTCGTCTGCAAATCATTAAAACATGTGGCATCCCCCAGTCGCAGAGATTCTTGGGGGAGAAATATTCAAAACGGCTTCTTCAGTGACAAGGGGAAGAGAGGCAAACAAAAAGGCACTGGTGGGCATTATAAATGGGCTCAAGTTGGTGTCACTGCGGTACCTCCTAGCGTGCATTTCTGGCATGCTCCGCAAAGAAGGGCGGAAAAATTAAACAAGCACAGGCGCACGCGTGCGTTCACATAACGCTCACATAACGCTGACGCAGGCGTGCAGGTGCCTGCGCACCCGCTCAGAAGCGCCGGTTCTCCAGCCTCTTCTGGTTATTCTTGTACGACGGGGTGTACTGGAAGTTCTTCTTCGTGAGGCGAAGAATTGACGAGCCAAACATATATATGGACCCAAAGTTCTCCAGCCACACGGTTTTGTATAACGAGTGAGACCCCACCTTGGTGTTAATAACAACTTCTGTCCACACAGAGGTTTTAAAATCGTAAAAAAACAAATCGTTCCTTGGTAAAGAGGAACTCTTGCATTCTCCACCAATTACAAACATATAATCATTAACAATAACACACCCATGTCGGTACCTCTTCTCGGGTATACTTCCTTTGGCCATAATTTCAAAGCATTTATTCGACTCAATATTGTACAGGAATAAATTGTCACAAAATGTTAAATTTATTTTGTTACTATTAAAGCTATAATAACTGATGCCGCCAAATATGTATAGGTTGTTTTTATAATACGTGCAAGAATGTCCTGCTCTTTTTCCAAGCCAGGGGATGCTTCGTATCTTGACTCCGTTCGATATAAGGTCACATATATATTTGCACTTCTTCCCCTGCACACAGTCTTTACAGGGTGGGTCATTACGCTCATGGTATATGTTGGTGCGTGTGTGTTGGGGGCTTTCCACGGGCTTCATTTCACTGTGCACACCTTCCCACTCTGCATTCTTTTTAGCTTTTCCATCAGTTGCTTCTTCTTCACGAATGTCAAAAATGAGGCTGTACAAATCTGAACAAGTGTCATCCACCTGCTCCTCTTTGTTTGCAACGCCCCTTCGGTCCCCACTCATCAGATTCCTCTCCCAAGGTTCCCCCTTCGCATGGCTAAACGAATCGCTATGCCTGTCCGCTGTGGACGTAGCAACGGTAGCTATGCTATCCACCGTACCTCCATTTCTGCGCAGGCTGTCCCTCAGATTTACTGCCCCCCCGTCCATCTGAACCTTACTCGACTGCGTCCTGTTATCATTGGTAAACGCATCATTCGAGGTCAGTAAAAAAGAATTGTCATTAAAACATTCTTCTGCGCTTCTAGTATCGTTTTGTATGCCAGAAGGAGGGGAGGACGTATCACCCTGTTTAAAATAAAGAATGTTGCTGTTATCCTTTCTGTTTGTGGTAGACTCTTGTAAGTGAGTACGTAAAAGGGAATTGTCTTGGGATGTCTCCTCCTGGTTTGTCCTCTCCTCAGAGGTACACCCACCCCCCTTGTCACTCCTGTACTGGTATAACTCCATCCACCGGTTTCGGTAAAAATCGTAGACATACAAATCGTTGTAAATAATGTCCACATATTCATGGCCCTTTTTGACGGTGCTTCCTTTACCCCCAAAGAGGTAAATCAGGGAATAGCAGCTCTCGTTGACGCTACAAATGGAGAAGAAATCTCGAGCCTTTATCAATCTCTTCATATTTTTAAAAACATTTTTCTCTTCATTTGGAAAAAGGTCGGAAAATTCACACAATTCGGAAAATTCTGAAAATTCGGAAATTCCACTGACGTACTCGTCGAAGTGGCTACCTTGGATGTCCTCATCGCCGCTTTCACGTTGGCTATCGTGCATGTGACCGCTCTCCACGGCACCCACTTCGTTACTACACATTGTTTGCTCCATACGTGGAAGGGTAGGATTGGAACCCTTCAGCCCGCTTGGCGTTTCCTGCAGGGGAGACGATCCACCACGCTTCACGTCCCAACTGGAGGGCTGCCTTACATGGCGAATCTCATCCTCATCGCTATTGCCGTGCTCCTTGCGGTCCGTCTCACCCCCTCTCAACATCCGCAACAGCTGCGCAAAATCGGCGAACTTACTCTGAGCGGATTCTACCACAACGGTCCCAAAGAGAGTATTCATATTTAGCATATTGACTTTACAAAAATTCATAAAATGACAATTACTACTAATTATAAAAATACAATTATTCAGATAAACCACATCTGTGTAGTTCATAAAGGAAATGTTGCTGAGGTGACTAAAGCTTCCTTCAATACTTTGTTTCGGTCTGTTCACATAAGAATTGGTTAACTCCAAGTTTCCATTTTTATTCACAGACATTTCTTCACATATGTTTAAAAATATATACCACACATTATTATATGGGGTGTATAAATATATACATTTTTTTATTTTGTCAAATATGTATATATTATCATTGAGGACACAGACTCCATCGCATCTGTTCTTATACACCTTTGTGTCGAAACCAATGTTGTGAACATTAAATTCGTAAATATGATTTTTCTGCCCTTGGTCTTCTTCCCTGCTGGCGATATTCTTCACTTGATCAATCCGATCGCTCTGCGATCTTGGCATACTCATCGAGCCAGTAGCGCCAACTGTTCCCATCCCTGACCTACCGACTCGCCCAAACCTTCTCACCACAGCGGGGCGTTCCTCCCTGCTCTGTGTCCTACGACCCGTATGCACATCATTATCACCCAACATCAACGTCCGCGAGGACGACTTGGACGAGCAGCTATGGTTGCTGTACCCATTACTTATGTCGACAAAGTTGCTAATCAAATTCTCATTCTCAATGTTATTGTAATTGTACGCATTTATGTTTCGATTGTATATGCTCTTGCTCTTATTATAAAGGTAGTTAATAATATTCATGGCTTACATCTTTTGGTCACTAATTGGAGGGTTCTCTAGTGGGGGCAGGGGGAGGGCAGAGTTTTTTTTTTTTTGAAAATTCTGGACAGGCGCATGCGGCGCAGACCTGTTCTTCGGGGCATCATAAATACATACACGTGAATATATGTCCCCCTCCTTTCCCTTTTAAGAATTTTTTTTTTTTCCGACTTTTTTCAAAAATGAGTTCTTCGTGCATGTGTTTAGGGGTTCGCCCTGGTACAATTCATATGTGTTAGGGGGGGATATGTGACCTTCGGGAAGCATCTCCCTAATCGTTGGGTCCCTCCTTGTAGGACGTTGGTTATTCACCTGGCGGAAGGCAATTAAAATGGGCAGCAAACAGAGCTCGCAATATCTGCTGCGAACACGTATACCGCTGGGGCATCCAAATACAAGGGGTTACCAGCAAAGCTTCACCACGATAAAAAAAAAAAAACGGAAAATGAAATAAAGTAAAACGAAACAAAGCAAAATGAAGGGAATGACCAAACGTAAGCGGCTCGGTTGTCCCCGCAATGCATTCACACCTGCGTTGAGGTATACACAAATTCTTTAAAATGTTTAATTTATACGCAAAAAAAAAAAAAAAAAAAAAGGAAAGAAAAATCTAGGAGACCGCCTGGGTCCAGCGACAAGCTGTTCTTATCAGATAACGATTAGCGTTACTCCGGATTCATCAATCCTGTTTCCAATGTGTTTTTTAAACGGCACGGTTTTTATATAGCGTCCCGCCTGTTCAATTGTCACGCATTATGTTGTTGCCATGTAAACCCTCGAGTTTTAATCCCATTTTTATGCATGAACGAAAGGGAAAATTTTAAAATGGGCGCGCCAAATTTAGGAGGCAAATTGGAGTAGCAATTTAAGGGAGGCCACATAAAATGACGCATAATGGAAACGCGTTGAGGCGACGAAGCCTTGGGGCTTTAAAAAAAGTGGATTACCCTAAACGCGGGGGAAATACATACTGCACTAATTCTTGCACGTGCATGTAAAATTAGGGGGCATAATATTTTTACGGCATGGCGAAAATTTCCTTCTCGTTCCACTACAACTCTGTATGTTCGTGAAAAAATTCAAACCGCGAAGCAGTGGAAAATTCCGCAACTAACCAGGCTACCAATTATGAGCTTTCATCATTTGAGAAGCTACCTGCTATGCAACTTATGTGAGTTCCAAATAGCGCGTATTTTTCCCCCCTTCGACAATTTTTATGCCAATGTGCCATGTGTACGTGAGATGGACTGCTACTCATTTTACTCCACGCCAAATACATACGTGTCGCATATGCAGGTGGGGGTTGATGCCAGGATTGGTAATCCCCCCCCCCCCACGTGTTAACTGTCCCACCTTCGTGACGGCTAAATAAAACAACCATTTGGTACACCAATTTTGGGAAGTAAAATTTTTTTTAAGTGGCCTCACAGGTTGAAACCCCCAGTTGGTCTCGTTAACCTGGCCCCTTTTTTGTTTTTTTTTTTTTCCCCATTACCCATGCAGAATATGTCTGCAGTCCGCCATGGGTAAACGAACAAGGGATCATATCTTCCCGTCCGACCTGCATGATCAGTTAAAAGCAACCCCTGCCTTGGTGAAAACTCGCGTAAAGCATTTTTACATGGACGAATTGGGTATACCAAGAGGGGAACGCATACAGCCGTTTTCTCTCAAATGGAAAAGGTTACAAAAATGCGAATGTATAAAGGGGAAGCGCTACGCAATTGTGTGTGTACATGCTGCCCTTCCCTACCAGACAAAGGATGCTAACCGAATATGTGTCAACTTTGCTACCCTTCCTTCGTTCCTTCTTCCCTTTTCTAATCCTTACGCGTGAGAGATTGTTAGAAGTTTGTGGCCAAACCATAGGCGAGTTAGCCAAATATGTACCACTTGGCTGAAACGCAACACATGTTAAGATTGGGCTGCTCAACTTAATGTGAATTTCGCTCCCATTCCGCTCCGAACACATTCATATAGAAAAACCGAAACCTTATGGAGTCTTACAAAACAGCGTATTGGTATAATAAAAAAAGTTATAAATAACTCCCATCGCTAATTAGGCGCATTTATAAAAGGGTGAAAAAAAAAAAAAAAATTCGCACAGGTTGTATTGCAAAATACACAAAACTGTTTCACCGTGTTGCCATCCGTACGATAGCATATATTTACATCGTGCTGAAGGTAGAATCAACGCAGAGAATTAATTTTTTTTTTCCCTGCGAGCAACATACTAATTGTGCGAGCCGCTGGTGTTGTTGGCGAAATAATGTTCTTTTTCTTTTTTCAAATTGTTAAATAAACAATTTGGGGGAGGAGCCAAATCGCGCTAGCAAAAATTGCACAACAGATTTGCATCGCGCGGATAGGCAACAGTATACAAAATATACATGTATACATTTAGGGGCGTTCACATGCGCGCATGTACAAGTACGCACATACGTAATTATTATTTATATATGCCGATCTGGCAGGGGTGCCTTCATGCGCAGGAGTATTCGAGATATACAACAATGTAGCTATCCCGCATGACATATGAACAAGCCAAGTGGCTCGCCTGCAGAGAAATATATGTACCTGAACAAAATAAATGTAGTTGTACATATATATATGCAATTATATGTGACAACTTAAATGGCAAAAATGCGATTGCACAGAATTATTCTGTTGAACAACTATAACCAAATTTGTTGCGCTCATATAAAAATTTATTTTCTACCTCTGTCGCATGTCAAATGAAAAAAAAAAAAAAAAAAAAAAAAAAAAAACAAAAATGATGCAATTCTGCATGAATAAATCCCCTCCCCT